GTTGTCAAAGGAGGTGCGGCCCCTACAAGCCATAATAAAGGCATAGTGAAAACTCTAAAAAAAACCCCAAGACTTTGCTACAGAATAACTGTCAGAAGGGCATGGACTCCAAGTGGACTTTTCTGGCTCTTATTTGGACTGGGTGTGTCTAATTGCACACTAATCCAAGACCATCCAGTAGGATTAAGACTGCAGTCTTCACCCAAGGCATCTTGTTTCTCTGGGGGCAAAGTGCATTGCCTTATATAAATGGACAGGACACAAGATTTTCTTTGGAGTCATCTACCTAATCAACTTAGTGCTGATGGCCACACCTGGGAATGAAAGGCGGCAAACCTTGGGTTTGGGTTACTCTATTTGACTTTGTGGGATGGAAGGACATGGGTGAGCAGGCAGGACTCCAACCCGTCCCCAACTTCAGTCAGAACAGTTCCGAAGCAGGAGGGCTTTAGTCCCTATCTCCCCTCCAGGAGTTACTTGTTTGCTTCTTATAGGTACATTATCCTGCAAGTTGGTATTCTACCCCCAGAAAAGAGGGAGGTGACCTTCTGAAAAAAATGCCACCTCCTTGTCCCCTGATTCTCAACTCACAAAAGTGACAAGTGTGGCTAACATCCACAGGCTATATAAGGTATATATGGGGTTGCTTCCTGGGAAACTCCATTTGTGCTTCGGCAGGGTACCCACTGTTTCTTCTTTCTGTTACCAAAGCCTCACAAAACTTCCTCAGTTCTTCAAAAACTGCTTTGTGGTGCCGAGACAATGAAAACACGAACATGCATTCACAAGGGTATGTAATTTAATGATGCAGTAGTTGTGGTAAGTGAGGCTCAGGGGTCAGCTACATCTGAGTTGAGATATCATTCTGGCATTCTCTAGCATTGGTGTGACCGTGGGAAAGTGACCGCACTCCTCTCCGCCTCAACATCCTCATCTGTAAAACGCAAAATCTTACAGCACTTACTGTCTGCAGGGGGCGGCGCTGTGAGTTAGGTCCCGTAATGTGTATGAAGAACTCAGCGCCGTGCCTCACACCTGGTAAAGTGTTCATGAAATGGAAGCTATTATTGTTGCAATAAGCAGATCTGTAAATGTAAAAATGCCTTCCTAGGAAAGCTGGTTTTAAATAATTATGGTGTGAACGTTTATATTGCTATCTCTGATCGTCTTGGTACTCTGTCTTCTGTTGAGAAGCCTGTTAGTTGTCTATGCGTCGAGTGGCTTCTTGGCAGTATGTTTTGCACTGATAAACATCGACTTAAAATGGGTCGTAACCACGAGGTAGAAACTAAGAAAAAAGAGAATGGAGCCACTTGAGTGACTACCTTTCTGGGACAGAGAGCTCAGAATATTGACCACTGTAAACCTAGCTCCTGTGTTATAGTTTGGAAGGATCCTGATAGCTAATTAAATTCACGCCCTCATTTCAGAAATGGGAAACTGAGGTCCCCATATGAGAGACAGAACCAGGGCTAAATTCAGATCACTCTTTTGACTTTTTATTATGGAAATTTTCAAAAATCACAGATGTAGAAAGGCTACAATAATGAACTTCTCTATACTCTTCATCCGGCTTCAAAAATTATCAACCCATTGCCTCTCTTGAAAAACCAGTTTGGGGTCTGAGTCTGTTGTCACTAACACTCCCTCACAAAGCTGTTCAGAGCCAGAACACACAGAGCACACCCCAGGCAAAGAAAGGAGGAAATGGAAGGAGGGCACGGTATGAGAAACAGCAGGCTGTCAATAAATGCCGAAAATGTAGAAAATCTGCTCAAGTTATTTTCATAACAGTCTGGAGAACACAGACTTGTTCTGAGAGGACACTGTTCCTTTAAATTACTTACTGATCCCACCCAGATCTTGCACCCTGGCCAAATGCCTGACCACTCTTGCTTTAACTTAGGCTAATAAACATGAATAAAAGATTGCAAAACTTCCAAGACCAAGACAATTTTTACTTCCACAGAAAAGAACAATATCAAATAGCCAACTCCATCCCTAACAATGGTCCTTGCTGTTGGCATTTGCTTAATCAGTCTTTAATTCCTGTTTGACAAACTTTATAAGGTAAGACATAACTGTTTTATTTTAATCACTTGAAATCAGATAGGACCACCTAGGCACCGTGGAAGACTAAGGGGTTTGCCTACTTCTTATGTGAAGAAAGCTGATCAAAAATTTCTATCCTCTGCCACTACTTTAAATTAATTATTAGAAAAATATAAATAATTGTTAAAATGTCGACGTTTAAAATTTATTTCAAAGTCTAAAATTGATTTTTTAATTTGCAGTCTACTACCTAGTGTTGCAATGATGTTAATATCTTTCAGGACCTCTTTTTCTTAATTTGGAACATATTTTTATAACTCAGTATTAATTACAGAATATTTTATAATTTGGCTGGTTTGGCAATTTGAATAAAGTCTTCTTTTGATAATTTTATCTTTCTGTGAAACAAATGAGATGCAAACACTGTGAACACAATTGGTAAACTGTGCTGAATTTTATTTTTGAAAAATCACAAAATATAAAGTCTCTTGGATTTGTTGATTCTGATATTTACCCAAGATAAATTTTAGGCAAAAAGGGCAAATGTATGGCATTTGGTTAAAGATAATCATTGGTTCTACACTTATAAAATGTAAGTTATAATGAACAGAGAGGTTTATGTTTCTTTTATTTAACTAATGGCATTTTCCCCTGAAACCCATTTTGCTTATATATGATATCTAAATGAGAGAAAGGTAAAAATTACTAAAAACTGAGGCAAAATAAAATATGGCAAAAATGGTTTGAAATGGTGTGCTCTTAAGATGCCAAACTAATTAAAAAGAAAGAGATTTTAGGAAGGCAGTAGAACTAAAAACCAAAGGTATAAGAGTGTCCTCTAGCTAATATCAGTAAAGAGAGGGGAATAGTACGACCGCTTAGGGAGAGCTGGATAAAAACTATCAGAGCAAATAGTAATGAAATATGAGACATAATGGTTAGTGCTAATGAATAAGTGTGATAGTGAACATTGTGTATACAAAGCTTCAGCTATGCATTCACGATTATATGCCAAAGAAACTATATGAGCAGGTGCTTAGTTTTAGGAAAGACGAGTCTTTATTTAAAGACAGCATTTCTAAAGCCCCAAATGAGGCCTACAAATGAGGAGAAAGTGGTTTTCTGCTCAGGATCCTGCATGGGAATCACCTTCTTTAGAGTTGTATTGATCATGTAGCTTGTGAAATCTCTCCTATTTTCAATGAATTTAAATTCTCAGTCTCTTATTTCCAGAACTTCTGGGACACTTTTTGTGGTATGGGCTCAACAAAAGAGAAAGGTTGTATGTAATACTGGGGACACAGTGTTATTCTGCCTGCCCCCCTCCAAAGACTATAGCAGCTACGTTTGGCTACATAGCCTTGTTCTTACACTAGTCTTCAGAGTTAAACGTGTACATCCTTCTGTAGTCTTCTCTTTGGTTAACAAGGAATTACCTGGGGAGGGATGTCCTTTATGTGTTCTATTTCCTCAGCAAACTCCTTCTTCTTCTTCTCCTCCTCCTCCTCCTCCTTCTTCTTTCTTCTTCTTCTTTTTTTAACACCCAGCTGTCTTCACATCTTAGCACACCTGGTCTGAAGAAGAGTTGACACTGGCCAATTGCACTTGATGCACTTGCCAACAGAGGTGCTTAGCTATACCGATACAAAGTCAGCTTCATGAACTTCCTGCAAGACCATGTCAGTTGAGGAGCAGATTATGGCATGGAGCCATCTATTGGTTCATCCTCAACCCAACAGCTTTGATTCCTTTTTGGGTTTCTGTATCTGGCATGTATGAAAGAAGCCAGTCATCCATTCCATTTCTCACTGCCTTTCCATATATTTCTACCTCCTATTTGAGCCTGGAAAAATCGTGCTAATGATTTCCCAGTTCCCATTCCCTGAAGGCAAACTGAAGGAAAATGCGATTTCCTTTTCCAGAACTTTTGAAGTCAATATAGTTTAAGAAGGAAAGCATTTCCAAACCATACAGAACGTTGGTTCAGAAAAAGCTTTCTTGTTCCTTCTCAAGTACACTGGGCTAGCCCCACATGAGTCTTCTCTTGCCAGGGAAGCCTGTGGGTTTAAAAGTCATTTGGTGTAGAGCTGGGCATATTGAGAGATGAAGATGGCTGTAGATTTTAATACAGGATTAGATTTTTCATTGTTAATCTACTCAGAAAAACAGCTTCACAGGAATGTTCAGAGGGAGTGCTTCTGATTTCAATCTTATTTCTATCATTTCTTCACTAGAAGAATGGTGTTGCTGAGCAAATCTATTACTTTTGCTCTCATACTCTTGATTCATTGGATATGTATACAGCTGTAGTCCAGCTTGGAACTCTGTTGTAGATGAAGTTTCCAAGTAAGAGTATAAAGAGAAATGGTGTTCTATGGGAACTGGAGGGGTGATTTGATTTTTGACTTGCCTTTTGAACTCACTGAAGTTGTGCATGTATTATTAAGACTGAAATGATGGTGGTTCTCTACCACCTTGTAAAAATATTGAGATTGTCAGGAATTAGTTATAATGAAACAATGATGTAGCAATCTGATATCACCTTGAAGAATGTGAAAATGTCAAAAGAGAGCCTGTGCTTGAACCATAGTCCATCATATAGAGTGGGACTGAAGTGTTTTTAAATGGCTTTTCCCACTCTCTGCTCCCCATAATAAAATGGGAAATTCAGATTACTTGGATGTAATTCTTTGACTATTATAGAAATATTCACTAATAAATGTTTGGTTGTAGTGCCATGATTCACTTGGATTAGAATCTTTTAAAATCCCAACGTAGATGTTTTTCTGTAAATATGAATGAAAACCTCTTGCGCCTGTCACATGCCAGCTTTCAATTCTGCCGGCTTTAAATTAAAAATAGCGAACACTGTACTTTACGAAAGTATTTATAACTGATTTTTCTATTAAAGGTGTTACAAGACAGATGACTTTTCACCATCTACCATAATGTGGAACAGACATTTTGTCTTCTATCTCCTGCTTTTGCCAGCTTTTATGAGTCAAACAATACATGGACAAAGAAAGAAAGGATCAAAGTCCAATTTACTTGCAAGGAAAAATGATCTCCAGGGTAAAAGAAAAAATGTTTTGTTTTTGTTTTTAATGATAAGTTTTAGCCTGTTAAAACACTAATATGAATTTTTCCAAATAGCAGTTGATGCAAATAGCAAACCATATATAGAAACATATATGTAACATTCTATTTTAATGTACTTATATTATGATAATAATATACTTTCTATACTTACAGAGCATACTTACAAAAACATTACGTGTTTTAGAGCCTTTGTACATTTATTATCTCATTTGAGCCTCATAGTAGCTTTGTAAAATGGGAATGACAGAGACTGCCACTGTCATAGATAAAGAAATTGAGGCCCAGAGATATTAAGTGGCACATCCAAGGCCACTGGCAAATTAACTAGTAAGATCTAGAATTCAAACTTAAGTTCTCCGCTTTTATGTTTCTTTCCCCCTCCTTGCTACAATGTGATGCAGGTAGTCGTTTTCTCCCTTGATTTAAAAAAAGCTAAAAACAAAACAAAAAACCACACACCAAAACAAGGTGGGGCCTCACCAATGTGACACACAACTTGAGAATCAGGCAGAGCATTCTTTACTTCTCAACAACTTTGCCCAATATTTGTTGAATTTTGGGGGTGCCTGGGTGGCTCAGTCAGTTAAGCATCTGACTCTTGATTTCGGCTCAGGTCATGATTTCAGGGTCGTGAGATCAAGCCCCATGTCCAGCTTCACGCTCAGTGTGGAGTCTGCTTGAGATTCTCTCCCTCCCTCTACCTCTGCCTCTCCCCCGCATCTCTCTCTCGAAATAAATAAACAAAATTAAAAATATATGTATTTGTTGAATTTTTGAACAATGGGAAAATACTCAAAATACATGGAATTTTGCTTATTTGTTTGCTCCTGACTCTCATGATTTTACAAGAGGCAAAGAATTTATAGATTTGGAAAGAGATTTAGCTCTTCACAACTTAAGCCCTACCTCTAAGATGCCTCTCTTTTTCACTCCCCTCTCCTGTCAAAACAACAACAACAACAACAACAAAACCAAAAAACACCCAAAAAAACAACAACAAACCCATACACATCACACCACCTCAGGGCTTTCCTTATGCAAAGTCATTTCATGAGTAGGAAAAAATATTTTGCCTAACCTATTTGTTCTATTTCAGACTCTACTTGCTTCATAGATGTTGTCTTCATTGTGGACAGCTCTGAAAGTTCTAAAATTATTCTCTTTGATAAACAGAAAGATTTTGTGGATAGCTTGAGTGACGAGGTTTTCCAGTTGACCCCAGTTCGCTCCTTGAAATATGACATCAAACTGGCAGCGCTTCAGTTTAGCAGCTCTGTCCAAATCGATCCACCTTTTTCTTCTTGGAAGGATCTGCAGACGTTTAAACAGAGGGTCAAGTCTATGAATTTCATCGGGCAAGGCACCTTCTCTTATTATGCTGTCTCCAATGCCACTGGGCTACTTAAGAGAGAAGGCCGTAAAGATGGTGTGAAGGTGGCTTTGCTGATGACTGATGGCATTGACCATCCAAAGAATCCAGATGTTCAGAGTATTTCGGAAGATGCCAGAACTGCAGGGATATTATTTATCACCATTGGACTTTCCACTGTAGTCAATGAAGCCAAACTTCGTTTGATATCTGGGGATTCATCCAGTGAACCCATTCTACTGTTAAGTGATCCAACCCTTGTAGATAAAATTCGAGATCGCCTGGTAGGTACTTAATGAGTTGGTTTTATGTATATATTCCCAATCATAATACTGATACCTTAATTACAAATTCTGTAAGGATAGATACTGGGTCAGAAAGATGAAGGAAAAAGAATCCATCTTGGAAATAGGAGAATCTTTCCGAGGTCTCTCTCCACTCCTTGATAGTTTACACCAGATAAACTGGGAAAGTAACAAGGCTCATGCTCTGGAATTGCATTCCTAACTTTATTGATAGCCAATGCTGAGGATTTTGGAAGAATTACTTTCCAATCCTTCAAGCTCCTGTTTATACATCCTGGGATCACGAACACTGCTGACTTATATTCAACTTGTGGTCAGATTGTGGTCTGCTGTATTTGTACTAAGTTGCTTTTTCCCCATTTAACATCTGCAGAAATATTTTGACTCCATCTCTCACCTACTGCTATATTATGCTACTCAAGCAAAGTTCATTGACTTCTAATTTTTTTTTATTATGTCCTTGTTCTTAGGTGTTAGCACGCCCACCCAATTTAAAATCACCTGCGACTTGCAGTCACCCAACACTTTCTCACTGCAGATCAATGAGTGCCATTTGATTGGTCTGATTAGTCGTGTCAATGCTTTTCTTTGTTGATTGCTCAGCTGTGTGTGAGATTCTTTCCTTTCTGCTTGGGAAAACACAAGGCAAAGCAATCAAAATAAAATCCTTCTTCACAGTGTTTCTCAAGAAGAAAACTCCTGGAGAAAAAGTGGTTGATTTGTTAAGTGTTAAAAATTGATTTTCTTTTTTTTTTTATTATGTTATGTTAATCACCATACATTACATCATTAGTTTTTGATGTAGTGTTCTATGATTCATTGTTTGCGTATAACATTTTCTTAAAAACATTGATTTTTTTTTTTTCTTGAGAAGAGGGCAGGGCAAATGTGTCCTTTGGGTACTAAACATTTCATACGGCTGTTTTCTATAGGTTTCAAAAAAGCTCAGCCTTGTTTCAGAGATTGTTTTGACCCTTTTGTCCCTTTCCCCAATCCTTCTCCTAACATTATTCTTATAACTTATAAGTCGATATTAACTATAAGATAATAACTGGTAAGTTATTCTTATAACTGTTGTTTTCAGCATGAGACATTGGCTTTTTTTTAAAGTCTAAATAATAGTTACCACGTCTTGAGTGCTCTGTGTATTAGGCATTTTTCTGAGCACTTTACAGATTTTATTTTAGTCAATGTTTACAACAATCTTATGATGTATATACTATATTATCCTCATTTTATAGTTGAAAATGTAAGGACAGGCAAAGGCCCTGGGGTCTTCATGCTTAACCCTGTGAAGTTATATTGAAAGGGGAAAATAGTAACTGGGTTTTAAAGTTTTCTCAGTCAGAACTGCCTTGAAACAGTTAAGCAACATCCCTCCTCTAAAGTTCTATTGTTTCTAGCCTCTTTTTCTTGGGCATTGGGGGTAGATAGGGAGAGATCTGCCTGGGCTGGAGATGATGCATTCGGCCCCCAGGGGGCTTAGGGTGAGTGCTCACCCTGAGCATCTCTTTTCATATAAGGGAAGTGTGCAGGGGTGCCTGGCTAACTGCCTAGCGCTGCCTGTGCCATAATTTAAGTAGTCCTTACCACTGAACCCCAAACAGAAGATTCCAGCATGTGCAGGAGAGAACACTGGAGTTGACATAATGAGTCACCAGTTGCTAATTACAGAAGATACAGGACAGGCAGCTTCTTGTTCGGTCAGTTGTGGAGGCTCAGGAGGTTCTTACTCTTTCCAGACACATCCTCCTCGCAGAGAGCTCCTGCCCAACCCAGAACACAGGATCTTGGCAGTAGTCTTGAAGCAGGACTATTTGTTCATTTCTGAGGAAACCAGAGAATGACCAAGTGTCCCAACGACCCTGCTCTTCCTTAGCATCCTGTGATTTCAGCTTGTTTGTTCAGATGGAAGCTCTATGAACAAGCCACTTCTTAGGAGATGCTGCTTTCTAAACACTTCCAACATCCAAAGGGCTTATTAGGCCCTTCAAAGAACAATATACTGTTTCAATGTTTCAAATGTTTCAAATCGCCACTGTGTAGGAGGCAGAACTTAATTCTTGATCAGGCCATTGGAAAAATTCCTCATCTAATCTATTGCTATTACATCTTTAGTTGAATTCCTAAACTTTTCATTTTGAAATAATTATGTAGTTGACTTTCTAAAATAAGTTAATTAGGTATAATTCGAATACAAAACTGCATCCACTTAAGGTACACAATTCTATGAGTCTTGATAGATGTATAGATTCGTGAAACCACCAACACAGTTAGGACATAGAACATTTCCGTCACCCCCAAACTTCTTCCTGCCTCTTTGCAAGATATCTTTCCCTTGCCTCCTAGCTCCTGACTGGACTTTTGCCACTCCAGATTAGTGTACACTTTCCAGGCTCATATGTAAATAAGCTTATGCAGTGTGTACTCTTTTTCTGTCAGGGTTCTTAGACCCAGTGTAATGATTTTTGGAATTCAACTGGACTTTTTTTTTTTTTTGTATCAGCTGTCTATTTTTTGTTGTTGTTGTTGCAGAGTAGACTTTAGTTTAATTTTAATGGACATGAGTGCCCACAATAAGTAGATCTTGCAGGAGCCAAGACAAATCAAGGAATCATTAGCAACTCCTTGGCATCTCTAGTAAAAAGGATCATATAAGAACCCCATGAAAACACTTCGGTTCTGAATAACCTCAGAGAGACCTGATGATTCCACATTGAAGAGGATATATAAAATGTTCTAATACTATCTTATTATGATTTACATAACAGTATTGAAACCAAAGAAACAATTCCAACCCAATGTGCATATATATTAGTTGGTCTTTTAGAAGAGATTTTATGGTGGCTCTTTGGCTACTATACTAAGCTGCAAATATTTTTTGGTTGTAGAGTTTGCAATCCTCACCTACTAACTTCTTTATTCTCATCCTATTTGCTATTGTGCCAATAACTCTGATAACTTCCTTATATTTCCTCTGTCCTTTTCTCATAGCATTGACCTCATACTCATTCACAAAATCAGCAGTTCCATTCTAGCCTTCTCCTTTCACATATATGCCATCATAAAACTCTTCATTAATAAAATGCACCTTCTTTTGCTTTAAGGAGGTCTTGTCTTTATTTGTCTTTTCCATTTAGACTACAGTATCCACCTAGATCCTCACTGAATGTGCCCTTCCCTATGACTTTGACCATGTTCTCCCCATAACCTGCTTCTCTGTTTAAGTGAAAGCACTCACTACATCCCAAGGTGTCCAGCTCTGTCCACATGGGCCCTTTTGTCCACTCTTTTTAAGCGTCCCTCCTCACTGCTTCCTTTGTCTTACAGCCCACACTAATCTTTATCACTTTTTTCCTCATAATCTTTGACATATAGAACAGCATTCCATCCATGAGTTGGTCCTTTGCTTTCTGCTCTTGAAAATTATCCAGAAAACCCACCTATTTCAAGAAACTGTTTTGTTACCCAAGATTAGTTTTTGATGTAGTGTTCCATGTTCCAACGAATCTTGTTACCCAAACAATGAATCATGGAACACTACATCAAAAACTAACTCCCCACCCAGTCTGGGATCTCCTTCCCACGCGGCTTGCTCTGTGCTGTTTTCTGTCACTGGGGCTTATAGGCTATAAGTGCCCTTAGGGATAGAGCTTTGTTCTTTGTTTGAGACAGTCTGATCTATTGTGCAGTCCTGGGTCCATTTTTTTCCATATGAATATAAATTCCACAAACACAAAATCAAATGAGTTCCAAAATTAGTTAGTTATGTTGTTATGGTTTTAAGTCCCATAGCACATGTTTTTAAAGAGTTAATATGGCAAAGCAGACATTAAATTTTCAAAGGAAAAGCTGAAAGAGTGTAAAATTATACATCAGGCATACTAGCAGCTAAATTCATGAGTTTAAAAACTGATATTGTATAACACAAGGGTGTTGCTTATTATAAAAGGGTTGTAAGGTGACAAAACTTTGGATTTTTCTTTATTTCAGTAGTTGTTTTCAAATATTACAATTTGACTTGAATTATTAGTTGTTTATTGTCCCTTGAACCCTTTCAAATTCCTTTCTTTTTCTCCCTCCTAGAAAAACTAAATGTGTTTTAAATATTTTTATAATTTGGATCATATTCTATATATCCATCTGCAACTAGCTTTTTCACTCAGTGTCTTTGGAAATTTTTCTACTTTGAAATATGTAGATCCAGTGCATTCACCTTAACTGCTGAATAGCATTTTATTTATTGATCCATTCTAATATTGCATTATAATAATATTGATATTATTTCCAAATTCCAAAATTATTTCCAAGTTTTCACTATTAAAAATAATGAATGCTGGATATATACAGGAACCACAAGAATTTCCCTAAGTCGTGTCTGCAAGGAGTGTCAGAATAACAGGTGGGAACAAGGACTTGTCTTGGGCAGCCTAGAAATGAAGCACACATATCTTCAGGTTTCTAGGTACAGCCAAATCTTCTGGGGAGGGTAAATGCCATTTTACACCAAGACTGTCAGTATATCTGAATTCCCGTTTCTTCACATGACCTGCTAGTTCATAAAGATACAAGTATCTCAACTGCTTTCTGCCTGGATTTACATCAGCTGGAAATTTGAAATCACTGGGGTGGGGAGTGGGTGGGAGAGAGAGGTGGGGCAAAGAGGGCCAGAGGTAAGACTCTGAATTTTGTAGACTGGCTCTGTAGCCAGAGTTTTACAACTCCTGAGACCACACAGTCAAACTTTCTAATTTTTCATGTATGGGGAAAATGACCAGGAAGGATTATAGGACTTGCCCAAGGCCACAGAGCTAGTTACAGGATGGACACAGGATGAAAACCCTGGATCACACTTAATTCCCAGCCTAATTTTTCCTCCCATTACATCACTAGGACCACATAAAGCATTTTGCTGTATCTTCCTTCTGTATTATTAGTTTGTATGGCAATAAAGGTAAAGTAAAAATAAAACTAAAGGGATGTGGGGTCCTCCCTACAGGTACAATTCTGACTTATCTTTAACTTCCTCACTACAGTCTTCATTTTTAATATCTTGCAACAAATATTCTAGTGCTTTTTACTCCCATTTTTATTTTATCCTATGCAAATTAATGCTTCGGATTCAGTCATAAGGCATCAGTCTGCCCTATAGGTTCTACGTTATGAAAGCAATAATTCTATCTGTAAGCATAGGTTAATTTCTTCCCCATGTTTGGCTTCAGACACGGCCTGTAGGGCACTTGTCAGGCAATGCCCCACTAAGCTGAAGTAGGGTAGAGAGGCCTAGATGATAGACAAAAACCAGATTGTGAATTTCTCTAAAACTGAATTTAAAGGAGTTTTGAAAAATATTCTGGTTAATTCATTTATGTGTAAGTATAAAGTAGCACTTGAACTTGGTTAAGCGGCTCAGTCAAGTGTATGATCTTGGGCAAGTCACAGTCCTGCAGACCCACATTTCCTTAGGGCAAAATGAAAGGTTGGACCTGATTGACTTCAAAGGCTTATTGATATTTCATGAAATGATCACTCTGAAATTAATGTTTTAATACTGAAACACAAATGCATGTATGTATAGGGATGGAAAAACAAAAGAAGAGAAAACACACAATTATGTATTCTGGCTAAGTCTTTATGAGTAAAAGTGAGAAATTTTTATTATGACTGTTTAAGCTTGTAGCCCGATTACAGAGTTTAGAGAGCTGAAAGATAGAAAGATAGAACTTAGGATGCAACAGGATAAAGTTCCTAGAAAACAGAATAATTTTTAATGTTAGTGCCCTTCATGTCTCTTATTATATGGCTCAGAGTGTTCCTTGGGTGGTTGGCAGGTAGGCTCTATTGCTTTTACAAGCTTAAAAAGCTGAATCGCTATCTTTCTTGGAAATTGCCTATCCCATAGGGAATAATTAAGACTAATAAGAAGCTGGAAGCAGAACATGAATTGAGTTAATGTTTTATTCTTTTTTCTCTCCTAGGATATCTTATTTGAAGAGAAGGTAAGTACCACATGCTTTGATTACTATGAATTAATTCTCAAAATTTGCATGATCAAATCAGCATCATAATTCACATTAGAAGATAAGATGTATCTACATAAAAATGCTTAACTCTTTTAAAAATGAACCACTCTATTCTGAGGCAGCATCTGATTTCTTTATGCTGCTATGTCTACTGCAGGTTTCAAAATCTGGAAAAAGTAGGAAATATTTTAATACGATTTTAGAGAGTAACTTTAGAAATCATTGATAACCAAATGGCATAGTTGTTCTGTTTTTTAAGATTTTATCTTTAAGTAATCTCTACACCCAGTGCAGGGCTCCAACTCACAACTCCGAGATCAAGAGTGGCGCGCCCCGCTGACAGCCAGCCAAGCACCCCACAAAAGGCATAGTTTTTGCTTATTTTGATATGACTTCCTTTATTCTAAGCATGTCTCTGACACCAGCTACCCATAGGGGTCCTCCATTTTGGGAGGTGTGCCTGGTGTTGGCCGGGATTCCTGGCCAAGAGACATGGCTCAGAGTCTCCTGCTGCTGCCTGGTGATTGATTTTAAGCTCATTCTCCTTGATGATGACAACCACACCAGGCAGCAAAGAAAGCTGGCTAGTATGAGTTGGATGGTGCTTAGCACAATAGATGACCACCAGGTTGCCAAGGACTTCTATACTGGACGTGTGTTTCTTAACACAAAGAGTTTGGAACATGCAAATTTTGTTGGACCAGCCGCTTATTAAATATCAGGAAATTTCCAAGTAGTACTGCAAAAAATAATAAGAGCCAACCAAACCTTGCAGAGCATCATGCTTCAACGAATGGTCAGATGCATTATTATTTTATGTACCAGTGAGACAGGAAAGGACCCTGCCAATTAAACTATGATATAGTACCTTCTAATAAGTGACAATTTTACACTTACAGTAAGAGTCCCTTTAGATTTATTTAGATATAGACTTTTAAATCCTCTATCACTTTTGTCCATACATATAGGGGACAATGGAGGCAAACTAAACTGGTTATTTCAAAAACTTCTTCGTATCCAAAGTCTGAATCTTCTGAATCACTTTTTGGCTCTGATGCCCTCCGCCCCGCCCCCGGATGCCCCCCCTCCCCCAATATTGGCCTCTGGGCCATCAAAAACACTGGTGCTGCAACATTTCTTGAGTGTGCTCCAGGAGTATCTCTAGAGTTTTCTTCCATTTCATTCTGTAAGTTTTGAAGGACATGGGCAGAAAATAACAACTTCATTATGATCAGGCCTGATTCAAATAAGACTCATTCTGATTTCAGACAAATAAGGAAAAATGTATATCCTAGAATTGATAAAATATGGTATGTCACAATGTTTTCCTTTTGGGCTAAAGGAGTGGTTGATATTTGTATATTACTGAGCTTTGATGTGCTGTAGAGAGGAGAAAAAGCAGAAATTCCAAAAATCCACTGAAAATGGTTATTTTCCCTTTTCACTGGCAACTAGATGTTATGCATATATTTTTGCTGGCAGATCTATTTTATCTAACCATGGCAATGTTTAATAATCGTTGACTAGCTGGCTCTTACTAGATCTGAGGTAGCCTAGAAGAACTGACACGGGAGAACAAAATCTCCATGAATTTGTGAGGTAAAATTTCATCAAGGCAGTGTTCTATCTAGTTATGTACTGAATACGATTTGAAATGCTGTGTTTCGTTGCGTGTTAATATTGGATTTCATTCTCGATGCAGTGCGAACACAAGATTTGTGAATGTGAGAAGGGGGATCCAGGCGACCCAGGGCCTCCTGTGAGTACGTTTCCACTTTGAACGGAGGATCAAGTCAGGAGGCCCTAGTCACAATTGCTCTACTTGCACTTGGAAATGCCACTGCTGGTTTGTGCTGCTGAAAAGCAGTCACGTGCAAACAGCTGCAAACAGGGACATGCTGTTTCTTTCTTTTATTCCTAAAGGGATACACTCTGGCCTTAGAAATTAGCCTGGGATTTTGCTGACCTGAATGGAGGGCAGATTCAATTTTAAATGATAAAGTTGTTCTCACAAAGGATGCTCCAGCATCCTTCTGATGTGACAATTGGGGCCAGAATTTCTCAACAGTAAAACGAAAATATAGAAAAAGAGATCATCCAAATCCTCTGTGCTTTAGGGAAAGCTTTAGCCTAGAAACAAGTGACACAGAGCTCGCTGGAAGTTCACTGTGTCTTCACATGTATCCAAGAACAACACTGGGTGGCCTCTCAGAGAGGAAGCTGGTCAGGAAGCTTTGGGGATTAGAGTGAGTTCTGTGAAATGGAACTTGGCAACTAAAGGTTAAAGGCAGCGTTTATTACGATGATTCAACACTTGATAAAATAATCCTAAAATGAGTGCTTCCTTTATATTCTGGTCTAATATCTGGAAGGTGCCGTGTATGCACTGGGAAGGTATTTGCAACAATATCACAATAACTGGAGATACTGCATATTTTTCTAACACATATCATCAGAGGCATCCATGCTGCTTATTTGGTATTCCATTTACTTATGTGGTCTCAAACCCTATAGGTCAAAAGCCCAGTGGATATATTTCACAAAAATGCATGAATACAGTTTTTGAACAAATGCTTGTATTTGGGGGCAGGGAGGAGAATGTGTACTGTGAATTTCTTAGACTGTGCCACATTTTCTCTTGAGACTCAGGTCCGAAGACTGTACTTTTTCAAAGCATTCTACCAATCAGAAGGTGGGGATGATTGTCTTTTTTTTTCCCCTGGAAAATGTAAGTTAGATACATTGCAAGGCAATGTGGCAGCCAGTAGAAGCTGATTTTGGGCAAAGTAAAATTTTAACATTTCCTTCTTATAAAATCTTAGTTTATATTTATTACACCAAGAAATTGCCAGGGATATTCAATTATGTTTTAGAATGAATAGTAAGAAAATTTATAGCTGTTAAACTAATCTGACAATTTCAGTCACTCAGTATTGTTAGAGATTAACTTACCATTGTTTAAAAAGTGATATATTTTAAAGATTTTACTTATTTATTTGAGAGAGAGAGAGAGAGAGAGAATACAGGAGTGGGAGAGAGGGGTAGAGGGAGAGGGAAAGCAGAAAGATCCCAGTTCCCTGGGATTATGACCTGAGCCGAAGGCAGATGCTTAACCAACTGAGCCACCCAGGCACCCCTAACATATCATTTTTTAAAAGATTTTATTTATTTATTCTAGAGAGAGATAGAGGCAGAGTGCAAGTGGGGGGAGGGGCAGAGGGAGAGAGAGAATCTCAAGCAGACTCCCCACTGAATGTGTAGCCCAACACAGGGCTCAATCCCAGGACCCCGAGATCATGACCTGAGCTGAAATCAAGAGTTGGTTTGCTTAACTGACTGAGCCACCCAGGCGCCCCACCATGTTTTTTTTAAACTGAAGTATAGTGGACACACAATGTTATATTAGATTCAGGTGTTCAGCATACTGCCTCAACAAGTTTATATGTTATGCTGTGTTCACCACAAGAGGATCTACCATCTGTTACTGTGCAGTGTGGTTATAATACCATTGACTCTATCCCCTGTGCTGTACCATACCATATTTTAATAGGGTTAGACATAAAACTCCACTATTTAGTATTTATTGAGTGTCCCTAAAACCTGTTCTCAGAAAAGCCAGCTTTTTGGTGGTTTGAGAATAGGAAAACATAACACCTTTCTGGAACAGGATTGGAGCACTTTCTTCTCTCATCTTTGAGATTATCCCTTGGATATCAGGCAGAGACAGTATTTTCTTTTGAACACATCTAGAGAACCTACCTATTCAAGACAGTACAATCTTCCTGGTGTGTAGTAAAGGTGAGAATACAGTTGAGTCTCTGCTTGGTAGGTTACGTTTGTTTACAGTCTTCATTCCTTTTATGGGATGAAGCTGATCAGAAATTACTGTAATGTGTAAAAAACCCATAGGATGTGAGCTGAGTATAATCTTTTCTCCCTTTGCCTTCAGGGTACACATGGAAACCCAGGTATCAAAGGTGAGCGAGGACCAAAAGGAAACCCGGTAAATGAATAAACAGCTTTCCTTATAAACCATTGTATCTCTTTCTAGATTTATTTAAAGAACAAAAATGAGGAAAACAAAGAGCATTGTAGCGTATGTCAATGCCAAAAATATGATGATTTCTGTGAAGACTACAGGATGCTTACTTCCTGTATTATCTGCCTGGTTTGTGTTAGCTTACAAATCCTAAGTGATATATGACCATTTTAGTCACTTAGTCTAGGAAACCTAGGAACGCTGAACAAATTGAAATTTGTACTTACATAATGTTGGCGCAAATTAATTGCTACAATGTTCCATGAATTTCTAATATATATTCCATATCAGATTGACATTGACTTATGTTTTATATGGATCCATTTTATGGATAACTGACCTATGATAATAATAGAAAAAACAGTTATCTTCTACACTCAGACCATCTTCAGGTATTTCCCCAATTCCTTTCTTGGTGTATCCATAAAAAATTCTATATTAATATTAAAAAATCAGATAATATTTCACACGATGATCTTCCAAGTTCAAGAGTGGCTAAAAGAATCACAGAAGAGAGATATAACTATGTGAAAATTTATGGCAAAATTCTATATCATGAAAAATAATAATTAAAATAAAGAGGAAAACAGGGAAATATTTTCATCAAATACAATGGACATTGGGTTAATTTCTATAGTATATAAAGACTTTATAAAATGGATGAGAAAATATCAAGCCACTAATAATCAATTGGTCAAAGGACCCAAACAATTCCCAAGAGAAGAAATAAAACCAGTAAATAAAGAAATAGAAAAACATTTAATTTCACTAGATAATGACTGAAATTTAGATAAAGACAATGAGGTACTCTTCAATACTAATTATTCACATTTTAGAAACTTTGGAGTCCAAGGTTGTTGGGTTGTTTTTTGCATGGGGAGGGGAGAAATCTTCTAGTTCACATAGTTTGGGGTTTTGTGTGTGTGTATGTGTGTTTCAGATTTTAAAAAACGTGTCTTTTTTTGTAGCAGTTAACACAGCAATATTAAAATAATAATAACTAGTGAGAGAATGAGGTGGTGAAACTGGTTTGCTCTTCGTTGCAAAGGTAACTTGGGGCAAACATTTTGGAAAGCAATTAGATATTACAAAAGAAGTATTCATATATTCAAATTTTAATCCAATAACTTCTCTTCTAAAACTATGTTTAGGGAGGAAATGAAAAATAGAATAAGTTAGATGCATGGAAGTATTTTAGATGCATGAAAGCCAATAGCTTGCTTGTCAAAGAAAAGGAATATGATGCATCCTTGGGTATCTTTACAATACAAACACACACAACCCTACACACTCATTATTGAAGTCCCAACTGATGCCATCATGTCTTCTTTTTGTCTTGTTAAATACCTGTTTTAAATCTATGTTTACCTTTCATTTATTTGGCTTGTAATTTTGGGTCACATAATATATTTTCCTAAGTCTTGTTGAAATCAAGCAATTACTCTTAAGGACATTTTGGAAAACATTCCAAAGCCCCTTGGAGAAAAGCCAGAATGGCTGGCTCCGATGGAGTACATTGCTCTATTGGAGAACAACGGCTGTGTTGTTAAACTGGGATGCAAAACTTGGCCTAAACTGAGCAAATGTACCTGGATCTTGTGCCCTATGCATCTGGCTTCATTCCAAAGGGCAAAGGCTATCTGAACTGCTATTTTCTTCCCTTGAAGGCATGGTGAAAATGTCAGTGGTAAAGGCCAAATATTTTTTTCTCCATGGAGTTAATCTGTTAATCTGAGAATTCTGAATAATGCATTTTATTGAGCCATCAGTCACTCTGCAGGGCTGTAGAATTTTGATCGAGTTTTGTTTGTTTGTTTGTCACAGGGTGATGCTCAAAAAGGGGAACCTGGAGAAAGAGGCCCAGGGGTATGTATACCCCTTCCCAAGAAAGTAATCCAGGATGCTAAGATTCTGTAATTGATCACTGTGACTTCTATAGTGCAAATACAAAAATGATTTATAAAAACGTGTGCTCGTGATGGCTCAGACAGGCAATCAGACAGATAGGATCTTAGAAGTGGAAATGTGGGGAGAAAATACTCTGTTCAACAGGAGTGATGATGGGACAGGGTAGTCTCTGATCTTAAGTGCGATTTGTGGAAGACTCAAGTAAGAAAAATATTTTGCTTTGCCTCTTGTGTTTTTTTTTTTTTTCCCAATAAAGAATGAGTTAAAAATTCTGGGAGCACAGAACTATATAATCTAAACTATGCTTTGGTAAATTTGATCTACAGACCAAAAAAAAAGCTCTCATTCTAGTTGATTTATTATTCCTAAAATTAGAAGATGTTCGAGATTGTCTGAGAAATAATCCCAGTAAATTTCTTTTTTTTGCATTTTTCTGGGGAGTCACAGCAAAGTAGCAAAGAGCAGAGAAATGTGTACGGTGAGTAAAAAAAAGGCCATCACATTGCTCCTCCTGGCTTGTCCACTTGGCGAAAGCCCATGAGTCAGGCCCAGAGGTTTTAAAAACTGATCTCTCAGTGTTTTTAATCAACTTTATGAACAATGGAAATTCACTCAGAAATGTGTGTTATTCATTTAGGAAATATTTCTTAGGTGCCTTCTGCATATAAAACATATTATTATGTGAAAATAAAATTAAGACAAAGTGCTTATGTTTTTTGAAAAGTTTGTTATGGCAGAGATTAAGTTATTTAAAATAGCTACAATATTGGTTGCCAGAAGGGAAATGGGGGGGGAATGGGCAAAATGGGTGAAGGGGAGTGGGAGGTATAGGCATCCAGTAATGCAATGAAGAATTCACAGGGATGAAAGGTACAGGGTCAATGGTATTGTAATAGGGCTGTATGGGGACAGATGGTAGCTACACTTGTGGTGAGCAGAACATACTGTAAAGAGAAATTCAATCACTATGTTGTACACCTGAAACGAATGTAACATTGTGTGTCAATTATACTTTAACAAAAATAGCTACACTATGAAGCAGAATGTCAAAATATTATAAGAACTGCATACACAAATTATTATGGGCACTCAGAGGATAGTGAAGCCAGGGTAGGTTTTATAGGATAACTCCCGGAGAGTGCAGAATTGGGACGGGAAAGGACAGAACAGAAAGGTGAAAGTCGACAGGCATTCCAGCTAGAGGTTGCCATGAGCAGCAACCTGGGGGAAGGCGATGTGTTGGAAAACGGTGCGGGGGGATGCCTGAAGAGGAGTGTTGCCAGAAACAGCATGAAGACCACAGTGGGTGCTCCATGCTTTACTAGGTGAGAGATTTAGATGAAGCGTACAACCCAAGAGCTGTGTACTTGGAAGATTAATCTGGCATGACTCTAAAGGAGAAATTGAAGTGGGAATAAGCAGAAGGAAGGAGCACTTAGAAGAAGGTTTTCTGTTACAGTCTGTATGAGAACAGGGACACTGGCTAGAGCTGCTTTGGCCAATATGAAAGCTGCTAGCCATATGTGCTCACTGAGCAGCTGAAACATGGCTAGCCTGAATTGAGGTGTGCTGTAGGAGTAAAATACACAATGAATTTTGATGACTTAGTATCAAAGAAAATGTAAAATATCTCATTAATAACTTTTATACTGGTCACATGTTGAAGTGACTGTATTTCAGACCTATTGGGATCAGTAAAATATATTATTATTATTATTATTATTATTGTTATTATTATTTGAGAGAGAGCATACATGCATGCAAGAGTGGAGAGGAGGGCCAGGGGCAAAGCGGGAGGGAGAGAGAGAATCTTAAGCAGGCTCCATGCCCAGCGCAGAGCCTGACGTGGGGCTGAATCTCACAACTCTGAGATCGTGACCTGAGCTGAAATCAGGAGTCAGACACTTAACCACCTGAGCCGCCCAGGCGCCCCTCAGTAAAATATATTCTTAAAAATTAATTTCACCTGTTCATTGCTGCCTTTTTAATGTGGCTGTTGGGGAATTAAATTCTATACGAGGCTCACATTCTATTGGGCAGAATTGGGCCACAGTGATGATAGAATAGAAAAGAGACCATTGTGAGAACCATGGAAAGGCTGTGGGGACCAACTCTGACTCATATACTCAGCAAACATTTATTGAGCACATGCTATATGCTGGGCCCTTCTTTACATGCTGGGGATACAGGAGTGAGCAAGACAGATAGTTCCTGTTTTCATACAGTCTTCTAGCAGGGAGAGCAATAAACAGGCAAACAAATGAGATTTCATCAGCGAGATGTGTTCTGGAAACATAAAACAAGGTCATGAGGGTGTTCTAGGCAGAGAGAGCAGTAGGTACAAAGACTCTTGAGTGGGAATAAGCCCGGCAGGCTGGAGAAATGGAAAGAAAGCCAGAACTTGGCAAAGAGTGGTGATAAACAGGTTATGGAGATAGGCAGGGGTGGGTTACGGAGGGCGCTGCTTGCAGGGGTAGAGAGGATGGATTTAAAACTAAATGCAGTGAAAGCTGGTGAAGAATTTTAATTGGTTGGATTAAAGGAGTATAAGGGGCAAGTAGAGAGAAAAGATAATTATAAACATTTGATTCTGTGTGATTTGAAATATGAGGGTACCATTAATAGAAACAGGAAAGTCAGAAGCAAATTTGGCAGACCAATGAGTACAGTTTTGGATATTTTAAATTGGGCTAGTTTAAAACTAGTAATTAAGATGTCCTGAAAGGAAGGAAGGAAGCTGATAGCAACCAAACAATAAATTGACCAGAGATTTCAGAAAGAAAAACAGGGGAAAAAAGAGGATGCTATAAAAAGGAAGGTTTCTATTCATAAGCTATGTTGACTCCTTCTTAAATACAGTCTTAATTCTTTTAACATAATAATGACAGGATTTTAATATGGTTGTGTGCTGTCAGGGGTGGAGAGCACCCCCAGATTCCTGAGGCTGGAGGTCCAGCATTTCTTAGTGCTGAGAAAGTGAGTTGTTTTCATCAAGAACCCCAATTTAACTGTCTATAATGTGGCCTTTAATTTTAAGCCCATGACGAAAACTTAAACTCTTTATGCTAATAAATATTTCTAAGATGAATTAAATTATAGTGTAACAATATTTTTGGTTCTATCTGTTTTTATGTCCAATTTCTCAGTGACCGCTCATTAGGAGAGATGTGTTATTCCCTTCCCGAAGCTTTTCCTTTTTTGCCTTTTGTAAGAAAAGTCATACAAACCAGAATTCTGTAGTCTGACACGAGTCACTGCAATAATAGCTTGTTTATTCCATTGTTTTCTCCAGCTCACTTAAACTATGTCTTACAATTCTATTTTCATACTTAAAAGCTATTGTTGTAGGAAAAAGACATGAAATCCTATTTGAAAAAGTCTTGCTGTTGCTTAAAGTTGGCAATTTCTCAGTTCACTTAATATTCAGTAGTATATTACTTAAAGGGCTCTCGGGCAGGGACACAATGGAGGAGGCTGTGCAGGATTCCCCGGGGTGACACAGAAGGGGAGCAGAAGCACCGGGCCCGCAGTTAGTGGGAGAGAAAATATAGGAACTTAAAGGTCACTGTCTCATTAGCGTTGGTAAAGGAACCATTCATTTCGTTGATGTTCTATATTCCAGCCCAAATTTGAAAGGAGGACCATAATGGATATAAATATTTACACACATTGGAAGGGCCATTATCTTAGCTCATTTTCAAAGCTAATTTCTCCAACAGCCTCTGTGAAACATTCTCAGCTGGGACGGTTCGTAGTTTAAAAGTCAATACAACAATTTTGAAAGTAGCATTACAGGTTTGTCCCTTCTACAACAAGTTTCGGTGTCTAGTCTCTCCTTCAGCTGTGGGCCCACGGGTAAGGAACTGGGTTTGAAAAAATATGTGGAACTGAGAATAGAATGTAATTAAGGGAAAAGTAGGTTCTTTTCTTCTCCCTAGTCAATGTGCATTCCCTAAGCTCAAAGAGAAGTAACATCGCTTACATTTCCGTATGTGGTCTTAGTTTCCTGACATACAAATGTGTTTTGTTATACTTTGTAAATGAAAAATATCAAATACTTCCTCCAGCAATGTCTTCTAATGTGTTTTACTCTTTCTTTCTTTTTTCAACTAGGGAATTCCTGGGTACAAGGGTGAGAAGGTAAGTTGATAACAACCAATAGGTAGACCAGGATTTCAGAAAGAAAAAGAAACCTAACTGTATTAATGTACTTAATAAAAGTTGTTTTCCTTTACTTTTGTAAGTCTGGGTTCCCTAAGTCCTAAGTATACTCTTAACTCTGTTAACACAAAATAATAATAGAACTTAAGCTACAGGACATGTTGTAGGGGTGAAAGTCATCCTAAGATCCTGAGATCAGGATCCAGCCTCTCTCAGCTCGGCAAACACGATAACCCCAATGTAGCCGGCCTGCAGCACAGATAGCCAGACTCAAAGTTTCTACGTACAAATGGATGCAGCAACACAACAGTTAGGTTTCTCCCGTGGTGCTTCCTTTCCCCTAACACCTAGACACCGAACCCTCTCACAGAAGCAAGAAGGTTTATCCTGGTGAAGCAATAAGGAACCGCTTACTTCATAGAGTCAGGCCTCTGGGTAGAGCTGGGTAGGCGTCTGGCAGGCAGGGGGAGTAAATTTGACAAGCAAACAAAAGTTATGGGCTAATAGGTTATTTTAGGATTCTTTGCCAATTACAAGTTAGTAAGGTGGATGGGGGCTCCAGAACCTTTGAGCGTGTTCAGTGGTTCATTCATAGGTTCGTGCCACTGTGCTCTCTGTTAGCAGATTTTCTATCTGAAAACGGAGCATGCCTCTCTCATTCAATCTACAACCCTCAGACCTGGGCCAGAGATTTCACTCTGGGTGTCCTCCAGCCCGACCCCCATTGGAGCCAAGAGGTTGCAGGACAAGAGGTTGGTGGGCCTTTAAACCAAACCAGGCATTAGGTACCCAAGACCCCAGAAATCCCTGCAAAATGGCCTGAGCCTGCTTTGAAGGCAGATACAAACTTCTTTCCTCTGTCCATCTTTTTCCTGGGCCTGAGGGGAAACAAAATGTAAGTTGTTTGTTGAGGCTGGAGGGGACCCTAGTAGGAGCTTTGTTGTATTGTGGCCTGGGGCACCTTCGTGTGCATCGGTTCCTCCTGGGGCAGAAGGAACCAGAAGTGGGGAGGAGTCCAGCAGGGGTGGGGGTGTAGGCTGTGGGCATGGGGATGAGCTTGCACATGGACCTCTGAGGAATACCAAAATTCTCTCATTTTGTATTCCTTTTGAAGGTATACTTGTCGAAAAAGGAAGTTAGAACATTAGTAGGTTATTAGCTTAATGTATAACTTTCACCTATTTCGATACATGGTATGTAGGCTGACCCTTGCACTCCTGCCCTGGGCCCTGCATATATTAGAGGTGAGTCTACATACAGGCAAATAAATATATCCCCAATCACTGGAAATGTTAAATGCCTGTTTCTTCATCTGTATAGAACTGGATTAATGTAGGCTTCCTTAATTTACAAGGTGGTTGGAGAATCAAATGGAATTATGGATGTGACAATGTATTATAAACTCTTTGCTTGTCTATAAGTGTAAGGTGCTACTATGAAGAGGCAAGGAACCAATGATAATGCAGGAAAGTTAAGAAAGTTTCATGATTGTAAAATTGTCCTATATACAGTTGAAAAAGATTATCCAGGACCCCCATCTTGATTTATAATATGAGCTACTCACGAACACTATATATATATTTACACACACACACATACACATATATATATATTCATGTATATTTATATGTATGAAAAGACTCATTTAACCTTCTGGGAAATTACAGAATCACTGGTAGAGTTCTCATTTGGAAAATACAAGCTGTCAGAGTAAAGTGACCCTGAACCATTGACATTCAAACCAGAATTTCACCAGGAACAGCAACATCAGAAATCAGAGGCTGGAAACAGCTAATCTGTTCATAACTTTCTGAAGCACTTGCTCTCTGAAACTGTGTAATTGTGACCATTCCACAGGGATTATTGAGCCCACCAAAAAAGAACACGCCCTTGCAGAGGCAAATAACATGAGTACAATATTTTCATTGATGGAAGTCTGCCCCCAAAACAAATGCTGTTCCTCAGGACCCTATAGCTAACAGATCTGTCTGGACAAAAGGAATGTGAATCCTGGCCAAAAGAATTTTTTGAGTGTATTTATGGTACTTTTCTGTTTTATATTTTGGTGCTTGACTCATTTTATTTCCACCCAACATTATTAAATTAATTGCTTTCTAATTGATTCCTCAAGAGTGATTTTCCATTTGCATTCAGAAATAAATGTTCAGTTTGTTCAAAGTGAAATCTCAGTTTTTCCTGGGTCAATTTGACTCAGTTTGATGTAGAGAGAGAACAGATTGCTTTTGAACAGAGGCATAGCTGGATCGAGGAATTGTACTTCCCTCTTTCCTGCTCCTGATGCCAGCAACACCCCATGTAGTACCCTAGGCTAATGGAAAGTAACTTGCAGACCATGGCGGGTTGCCTTGTTCAGAGTTGGGTGGTTGATGAACATGGACTTGGGAACCTAACAGACTCAAGCCTGTGGTCATGGGCAAGCTGTTTAATCTCTCTGAACCTCCTTTTCCTCTCTCTCTCTAATCTAATATAATCTGTTGTGGGGATTAGCAGTAATGTAAAGGCTTTGGACTTTGGATCCATGATTGGTGGTTACACTTGTTATTTCCCTTCTTAGAGCAGTGCTATTCCAAGCGTGGTCTGCTGACTGGCTGTCGGTCTGTGAACTGCTTGTTGGTATTTTGTGAGGAGATAAAGCTCGCATCAGAATATAAATCCACTATATCACTAAATACACTGTTCCGCTGACATTCATTTTTCACCGTGTGTCTTCTTTAATGGAGGCAGGGCACTGATGTTCACCGTAGTGCAAGTTTCTTACGTCACTGTGTGGTGGTGCTTTGAGTAGCGTGCCTTACATCGCGTGGATGATAAAGCAGCAGCACAAACAGACAGTAGTGAGGGCACTGGGCTAGGAGTCACTGGCTAGCATGTACATGTAAGTAAACTCATTTAACCTCTTCAGTTGAGTTGCCATATCTTAAAAATATGAATTGCTTTGGGGCAACATGGTCAGTGATATTGTAATAGTGTGTATGGTTACAGATAGTAGCTACACCCGGTGAGCAGAGCATAATGTATAGAGAAGGTGTATCACTATGTTGTATACCTGAAACTAATGTAACCCTTTGTGTCAGTTGTGCTCAAATAAAAAATTTTAAAAAGGAATTGCCTTGAGGCTTAGAAAAAAAAATATGAAAGCCCTTGAAAATTCTAACTTTAGTCATTTTTCTAATGGCCTTTGATACCTTTTAGTTCTAATTATTCAAAGTCTTAGAAGTCTGATACAATGGATTAGTATTCAGAGGTCCCAATTCTCCTTCTGCATGAGCAAGTTACTTAACCTTTGGGATCACAAATTCTCAGTCTGTGAAATTGGGCTAATAATATCTACGTCAGACAGTTAACGGCACCTTAACAGATTACGTCTACAAAATAACAATGATCGTAAACTATAAAGAATAACTTAATTGTTAGTTCTTTTTTTCATTGCTATTCCAGGAAAGGCAGGAGGACAGTGTGATGATGGGAAGTAACAGTGTGCTTGCCACCCTGCCCGTCCCCTCTTGCTAAGTCTTTTTTTTTTTTTTTTCAGATTTTATTTACTTAACAGAGAGAGGGGGGGCACAAGCAGGGGGAGCTGCAGAGGGAAAGGCAGAAGGAGAGACAGAGAGAGAGGGAAGAAGCAGGCTGCCGCTGAGCGGGGAGCCTGATGCGGGGCTCGATCCCAGGACCCTGGGATCATGACCTGAGCTGAAGGCAGACGTTTAACAACTGAGCCACCCAGGCGTGTGCCCCCACCCCCCGCCCCAAGTCTTTATGGCTCCTTTCCCCACCAAGCCATGGCATGGTCTTAGGACCTTTTTCTTACTACTAACTGATCAAAGTTGGTACTCAGGATGGAGTATCGTGTTGTGGAAAAAATAGGGACTGTGAGTCTGAGCTACTTGATCGAGGGAAGTTATCTTGTTGAGTGTTAAGTTTCCTCATCTCCAAAATAAAATTGTAAAACTGATCTCATTGAGCCGTGATATGGATTCAAGTAAATCACACACGCAAAGAGCATATGGTAGACATTCAGTAAACCTTCGTTTCTTTCCTTTTAATTTCATCCACCTCTCAACAATGTTAAGCCTCACTAGGTGGTGTCGCGGATTTGATTCTGTCAAGTTAAGGATGACTCATGGATAAAATTTTTCAGAGTGCAATGCCCAAATAACCCCCAGGATTGAGGATAAACTTGTGTATAACCCATCAGGGTGCTTATGTCATAGAAATCTTTTTTAAAAATCCTAACCCCGAATACTGCAAATGTCTTCTTATTTCATTTATTTATTTTTCAGGGGGAAAGTGGAGAATGTGGCAAACCAGGAATAAAAGGTGACAAAGTAAGGAACATGTTTTTAAAATGCTAACAGCTGTGATCCCTTTGGGGCTGAGTTTCCTGAAGAGGAAATTCCTGGGATGCATTACCTGGCTCTCACTACTGGAGTTGGGAAGTTATTGGCTCCATTCTCACATCTGTAAAACATGAAGCAGAAAACAAAGCCATACCTAACTTTAGTTAATGGAGCCCCCACATGCCTTTCCTATGGACCTTTAAGATCTTGCTTTGTGGCACCCTAACCTTTGAGGCCAGGCCTACAGAAGGTTATGGTGAAAAGAATAATTTAAACTGCAAAGTCAATTCAAGCTCCAATCAGGTAAAAATGGAATTTTTGTTTTCAGATGTAAACACTGACAGCAAGTACTTTCCAAAATAGAGTGAAGAACTCTATGGGATAAGTTAATAAAATAATTATAAATAATGTGGCAGAACTAGGCAGAGACAGGGGTTCAAAATTTTGAAATTGCAGCAAGCCACAGACAATTGGGTAGGTATTTACCTTTCCCTAAAAAATAAATATGAATAAAGTATTTAAACTGAAGACAACATTAAATATGTTAAGGAGTTCCTTAATGGACCAGAAATATACAGAGAGTATGTTTGAAGCCTAATGACAAAGGTTCCAAAAATGTACAGAGTAAAAACAGTTTTCAGTATATTTAAGAACTATTAACAGCATGCTATCAAGACACTCAACTCTTTCCATATCTGTATTTTAATTATGGGAGAGAGCTAAGGAAAAAAAAAAAAACAGGCAAAAGGTGAAAAGCAGAGAATAAGATAATGACACTGGCCTATGTAACTAAGCATTTTAAATAGCTTGAGATTTTGTGAAAGCATTTAAAGTACTGTGGACTTAAAGGCCAGGGGGATCTGAAAAATGTAGGCTTGGTAATTATCTCTGGGCAAAATGAAACTGTAGTAATGAATAGATTCTGCCTGGAGGATAATTGAAAATGGGAGATGGACACGGACTTGAAAATACAAAAGGAGGGACACAGAAGAACAAAAATGAAAAGTTAAACAGTAACTGTGAAAACTATTTGAAATGAAATTGGCTGACAAAGAGTTAATATCATATTTCATTGACTAAGATGTCAGGGATTGTTAAATGCCCTATTATTTTCTGTGCCAAAAAGAAAGAAAAAGTGCTGCCAATTATAAACAGAAGATGCAATTGACTGTAAGACATATCTTAGTGTCAGAGACGTAAAAATCTGAAAAAAAAATGCATGTCTGGAGTCCATGAAATATAATGTCCTTGACAGGAAGAGTTCATATAAGTTTATAAGTCAAACATACAAAGAACATGAAGAGACACAAGAGAGGGAATGTAAATGGCTAATAAAAGAAAAAAATCCAAATGTATTAGGAGTCAGATAAGTGAAATTAACATTAAAATGTTATTTCAGTTGTCAAATTAGCAAACACTGAGACAATATATAATACTCAACATTGATGCGGAGTCTGTAAGGTGAAGATGCACTCTCTCTACTCGGGGAGTAGGAAAGGAAATCTGAACAAACTCTATGAAGGGAAGTTTTGTTTTTTCTTTCCACGTATGGTGTGAGCCACAAAAGAGAGTGAGAGAGCCTTGGATGTGCTCATTGTCTCTGTCTGTCATCCTCTTCCAGAACATCATCTTTAGGAGTCCATCAGAAGCAGGACGTGATTTATACACAAAGATGTTCTTTATAATATTGTTTAAAAGAGTAATCATCAGAAATAATTTAAATGTCAATACTAGGGAAATAAGTAAAGTATGATAGATTCATATTCTTGAGTATTATTCCATTTACTAAGAGTTCTTAATGACCTGGAAAAATATTTTTGATACAATGGAAGACCAGATAAGAAGGGCACAAAGTTGTATATGCCCTTTAATCAAATTATTTATTAATTTATTTTTTCAAATTATTTAAAGAAATATAATTATTACATAGGCCTAAAATGTTAATAGCAGTTGCTTCTGTGTGATTTTTTTTCCTGTTTTTTTTTGCTTTTTTCTATAATTGCTAAGGTATGTCTGTTATAAACAGGTTGTATTTTGGTAAGAAAAAAAAGGAAAATGTGAGAGAGACTAGACTATATTATATTCTCATAAAAATAAATTTTAAAGGGTTTCCTAGTTATGGAACATATTAAAGTATTTTTTTCTATTAAAAGAAGGTTGAGTATAAACACTGTTTTGTCAAGTTGTGTGTCTTGAAGATGGGCAAAAGAGTGATCTAGACATCGTGGAAAATCACTAAATTGTCAATTGAACTGACTTTGCCTTGTTGGAAAGAAACAATATTCCACTAAGTGTACTGCTTTCTGAAGAATCTTAAGAAATAAATTCTTTACTCTGATCAAAATTTCAATATACAGGCGAAGGACTTACATCTAAAATGGTGTTTTCATGGAGTTTACTAAAGGAGAATTTGACCTCAAGTTGGCTTATTAACTAGGATCATTTTGTTAATAATGCATCCGTTGGCTTTGCTGTTTGGATAACCTGGGAAGATTAGCCATTACTGAGAACACATTCCCTTCTTCTCACCTAAAATCATTGCATTTGAAGATGGGTATTTAGAGCAACTTACCATTAATTTTATTCCACAGGGGTCTTTAGGACCACATGGACCAAAGGGGCCCAGAGGACTTCAGGTAAGGAGAGGCTAAACCAAATCTACGTCTGATTAGATTGTATTTAAAATAATAGGATTAGAATCACCTAGAAAGTCTGCCAATTCAATCAGAATGTCTAGGGATTGAAGCCAGGCATCAGTACTTTTAAAGATTCCCAGGTGATTCCCATGTGCAACCAAGTTTGGAAATCACCGCTCTAATATTTTGAGTAACTAATTCAGGCTCTCCAAAGATAGGTACCAGCAGGTGAGTTTACTTAGTAGAGGGATAAAAGTTTAAAAATTCTGGTGTAGGAAGGCAGATAAATCTAAAGCAATTACAAACAAGATGTAACCATTTTTGTTTTGCTACTGTAATGTAGTTGGAAGAACTATGCATTTTATCTAAATTACAGTACTTGTATTGTTCCATCATTATAAGTACTTAATGCTCGATAACATGGAATAATTCCTTAAGGCATTTAAGTTAAGCATACTCCATGGATTTCAAAAAATAATTTAGATCAGTTTTTTTTTTTCCCCAGCCTGGGGACCCGCCTACTCTAACGTTTTCATGGGGGGAGGGTATATGTATATGAGGAGTTAATTTCAGTATTTCAAAAAGTCTACTGAAAATTATAACTTGACCCAAGATTTCCTAGACAGCTTCTAGTTAACCATCAACTCCTTTGCTTTGGCCTAGAATTGTGCTGGGGCAGGGCAGTAACTCTGGTTATCATGGGGTCATTAGAAGCTCCAACTTTCAGTTATAAATGACTTAGATATTAAAAAAAAATGGTTCATTCAAAATTTTTCACAAAGGGCATCCAGCACAGGCATAAGGTTGGAAACACAGGCTTCGAGAGCAAACACCTCGTGAATAAATGTTTGCTCTCAGCTTAAGTACTATTTTAGAAGCTGCCTATTTGACATGAACAATTTTGTCTCATTCCATTCCTCAGTTGCATGTAACCCCAACGTAACTCTGAGATATATAATCCGACTTCTAAACTCAGCATCTCTAGAGACCATAACGAACGATTCATTCTTGGTTGGCCTTTTGTGTAGGGAACTAATTCTTGATTTTCACCTTGGAGCAGGGCATAAGTGGACCTCCAGGGGATCCAGGCCCGAAGGGATATCAAGGCAATAAGGTAATCATACCCTTTGATTAAAGATAGGCAGAGTGCCTTTCCCCTAGTGAGCTATAGTGATGTGTGTTTTTATTAAGCAGAAGTGGGTGGACTCTTCGAGGATGTAAATTTGGCAATACATAGGTTTATCATTTATTATTACATTATTATTATAATATTATTATATTATTCAAAGGCACATTATTAAATACGAGCCATTATTCAGAATCTTTGCAGTATTTCCTTCTTACTCCTGCTCTTTAGTCTTTTTATGATTCACTAGAAACTAAAAAGTAGTAACAAATAACCAATTCAAATCACTGTATTTCCCCATATGTGATGTCAACTCAATATATAGCTTATAAAAGAAGGAAATTTATAACTGTCATGCCAATAAAAATCAAGCTTTTAAAAATCATTACAGGGGAGTAATCTCAACCATCAGTACCAGGCTTGTAATGTCATTCCACGGATAACCAAGCAAGACAGCAGGAGGGGTTGAATAAGAGCCAAATAGAACCCAAAGATGCTATAGCTGGGATATTTAAAAGACCTGGTTATAAGGCTCTGTTTTCTAATGAGGGTGGCCATTAATGTGCTGAAAACAAGCTTTTTAGTACCTTTTAAACTCTTCTCAATGCTTAGTAAATATCATGGGTATAGTAAATATCCCATAAATAGTGTCATTAGTGACTGGAGATCTGTGGGATTTGTGGCAGCAAGGACAGCAGAAGGTGCCATCCCCAATGGACCCTAGATAAAGCCAGTCCTTTAAGGGGGCTATCAAATCGAAGCTGTGGGGAGCAGTTGGGCTATGTGAGTGTTCTTTTTCCAGAGAGAGGAAAGAGAGTGACAAGTATAGCATTTTTAACAAGATAACGACAATATGTGATTTCCCAGGCCACTTTTAATTGGCAAATTAAAATAGAATGAGCTTCTCAGCGGGAGTGTGCTTAAGCTTCATCTGGGGAAACTGCCTTTTCCAGTCCTTGCCTATGATTAATTTTCTCTGGGGAAGAGAAATGTTATCTCTTGAATACTGAGTAGAAGTTTTTATAAAATTGCTTTGGTTGTGGATAAGATCCTGAAGCAAGAAAAAAAATATTTTGACAGTCCACGCTTTTTTCTAGGATTCTTTGGTTACCTAAGATGATAATTTTGTTTGTGCAAAAGAGGCTTAAAATCAGGGATCGGGGTTGGAGTTTGCAACAGTGATAGAATTATAGAATGTTTGAGCTGCCAGGGATGTTAGAGATCATACTGGCCCAAAGTTTTCATTTTGGAAAATGAGGAGTGAAGTCTGGATATCACATGGCTTGCCTGAGACAGAGGCACAGCCAGACTCATCAGCTTTGGAGAGTACCCAGGGAGGGCTGGGAGCAGGGCAGGTAGCTTTGGGAGATGGTCAGCGGTAGTCCATTGAAAGGTGCCATCATTTGCTCACTTCTACTCGTGTCTCATACAATTACTATTTAGGTTTTTTTTTTAACATAAACTTATGTATGTATGTATGTATGTATGTACATATATATATATATATATATTTTAAGATTTTATTTTTATTTGAGATCCAGAGTTAGAGAGAGCACAGAGAGGGAGAGGGAGAATCAGACTCCCTGCTGAGCAGAGAGCCCAATTTGGTGTTCGATCCCAGGACCCTGAGATCAGGACCTAAGCTGAAGGCAGACACTTAAATGACTGAGCCACCCAGGCACCCAACAGAAAGTTATTTAAACAAAATTTAGCTTTTAATTCCAACAGTGCATTCTTAGAATAAATATAGTTGAGTGTTTAGGGGAAGTTACAATTTTCTGAGGTAATAACATTTCATGCTTGACTTCCACATCATCCTAAGTATTTGAATACTTTTCATGAATTTTCCAAGGTCCTCTTTAAAAAAAAATTTTTTTTTTAAATTGTGGTTAAGGGGGCACCAGGGTGGCTCAGTTGGTTAAGCGTCCGACTCTTGGTTTCAGCTTAGGTCATGATCTCAGGGTTGTCAGATTGAGCCCCCAGTAGGGCTCCACATTCAGTGTGGAGTCTGCTTGGGATTCTTTCCTTCTGCCCCACCCCCCCAAATAAAATAAACAAAATCTTAAACAAAAATAAATTGTGGTAAAGGATACATAATATAAAATTACCACTTGGTTTTTTTTTTTAAGATTTATTTATTTATTTTGAGAGAGTGAGAATGAGAGAGAGAGAGAGAGCACATGAGAGGGGGGAGGGCCAGAGGGAGAAGCAGGTTCCTCGCTGAGCAGGGAGCCCGATGCGGGACTCAATCCCGGGACTCCAGGATCATGACCTGAGCCGAAGGCAGTCGCTTAACCAGCTGAGCCACCCAGGCGCCCGCCACTTGGGTTTTAATCACAAAATTCACTGCCAGGTGAATACACAAAGCTCACTGAATTGAAAGATGTCAATTTCTAGAAAATGTTCTGGGTTGCTGGGAGCAAATGAAGTGGGAGTGGGTTTTTCTTTTTCCTTCTAGTAATATTTCTGGTTTAAGGTCACAAATTTAGTAGTCTCTTGACTCGTACTTCAAGACTATTATTAATTTCTACCTCTCTTTGGATCTGTCAACCAGAGATGCATATTGCACTGATCATTAAAATTTTTTAAATTTTATACATTTATTAGTATATCATCTTAAAAGCCAAGTTTCCGGGAATGATTCCATCTTGGGTCTCAGAATGTACTTCTACATCTTGAAGACAGTATACTCTTTTTTCCTCAATCTGGAAATAATATGTTTATAATGATATTTCTTTTCATGCATTACCATTTTATTATAAAATGTTTTTAAGAAATTGCTATTGCAAATTGTGCAAAAAATTCCCTAAGACCTAGTAATTCTGTATTTTCTAATGAGCACAGGGAGGATTATTTATTTTGAAACTTCTATAATACTTGATAACATTTAATGTATATTTATTATGTACAGATATATAGTTCTAAATACTCACTTAACATAATACCACATTTTGAGGCATGATCTAGTCTTAACCCCATGATACAGATAAGGCTACTCAAGGAAAGAGAGGTTAAGCAGTAGGTTCAAGTCTGTGTAGGTAGTAAGGGATAGAGCCAGGATTCAAACCCAGCCAGTCCGCTCTTAACCACCATAGTATATTTATCTCCTTAGGAATACTGCTGAATTTCCCGAGTAGTTGACCTGAGATAAATGCATTTCTTTTGGACAGTGTGGAAATTACATCTGTCCCCCTTCTCTTGTACTCTGGCTGGAAAACAACAGTCTGTTGAGAGGTGCGTTTCTATTTGGTTATAATGTTCATCTGAAAATGCAGGAAGAGAAGGATGGGAATTGCATGGGAAAAAGAAACCAGTAATGTGCATTTTCAAATATTTTGTTTATAAGGAAACCTTCATCCAGAAACCTTTAGACTTGTAACATTTGTAAAGATTCCATAAGAGTTTCTAGATGGGGCCTGTCTATGTCTTTGAATTTATGAATGGTTTCTCTCATGAGCTACAGTCCCATTCTATTGCTCTAGTAGTTGGATTTTCTTCATCAAAGGGTTTGCAGAAAGGTGGTCAAAGAACAAAAGGAAAAAAATAACATGTGATAAATTGAGGAAAAATGTGATGCCAGCCCAGTTTCACAAACCATTTCTGTCATTAATATTTTCCACATGTAAAGTAGCTCCTATTTTGCCCTGAATGACCTAGTTGTCTTAGAAACAAAATATAGATGTTTCTCAGAATGAAGCTGTGGCTCTGAGGCCACTTCAGCCTCCCCCATATATGAAGGTCATGCAGTGACATTCATAAGAAGAACATCCCATCAGTCTCTAAAACCAATTAGCATCATAATCATACAAGGGCCTTATCCCTGGGACCAAATGGAAAATGCTATAACCCTGGAGAGAGCACAGTGCTCTTTCTGAGTAAAAATTGAGTACCTAAGAGCCCTACACCGACTTCCAAGGGTTATTGTGATGGTTCAGTTACAATCCCATCTGGTCCTAGAATGGGCCCTCTCATAACTAGAAAAAATGGCTCAGGATTGGCAGGGCTTTCAAATCACAGAGAACAGTTACAAAATTAGTTTTGTACAAATAAACACAGTAGAATGTTGGGTGTGCCAAACCCACATTAGGTAATTTTTGCCATTTCTTGATGTCTTTCTGAGGTTATTTTGGAAGTGTGTTTCTTCTCAAATCTCATGCAAATAGGCATCCTTTCCAAGACCCTCTTTGTGCTCCTGGGAGGAGGGCATGCTCACTGGCATGAGCAGAAAATAGCTTGTTACATGGAGTATCCTAGTACCAGAGCTTTCATGCTAGGGCCAAAGAGCACTAAGAAATAGCCCTGATATGCTTTCCCAAGTCAAAGTACCACATGTTAATCCTCCAACAATTAAAAAGACCATGATATTATATTCTGTATTAACTCATCTTAATGGATGAATTACCTCGCTTCTCATAACCTCTTCCATTGTTTTACTCCAGGACATTCATATATTTCCTACAGGGCTTTTCTCCCCTAAGATTTTTCTTGTACTACACACAAGTGTGAGAAACTCAAAGTCCTTTTATGTATGAGACTTTGTCTTGACTCACTTTTACTTCTGAGATGTAAAAAAAAAACAAAAAAAACAAAAAAAAACCCCACGGAGAAATAGCAGCAGTCTTGTCTAGTTTAATAAATAGATATGGTGAGGGTAAATAATCTCCAGTGAATCAAGCATTCACCCATCCATTCAAAATGAACAAAGGACCTCGTATCCATGAATAAATGGAACCTATGCTTCAAGAGGAGTGAGGGCAAATTAAATAGTTAAACCACTCCATGGTGCTGCACCACACAATGATTCTTGGACACCCTATTCCTCCTTCTCCAACTCTGTCAAGGTTTCATCTCATTTCTTGAGATTTTCAAGCAAAGTATGTATTTTTCAAGTAGCTGGTATTTGGAAGAAGTCAAGTAAATAAGAACTAAATGTACAAATCCTAAAGTTGAAACTTAGTAAACACCTCTACAAAACATCCTGTTTTCTT